TATACTTATACGGCAAAAAAGTCTATTAACCGGCAGTTGACTTCGACTTCAAAATACCATGACACGACTGCTTGTCATATTCAACCGCTTCCACAGTACTCATCTTACTCTTTTCTCTGCCTTTGTGTCTGTCTGCCTCTTTTACATCTGTGAATCGCTCTTCCGTTCCCCACCCCTCGACTTTCTGCTACTTTGAAGAACCTTCCCTCTGTGAAGCCTGAAGTCAATTAAAGGGCTAATGATAGCTATCAAAACGCCTGCCATTTGAACTAAATAAATAAATAGTTCCAAAACGATTTTTAAATAGATGTGATAAAAATACATAAATTGTGCCAACTGCCGAAAGGAAATTCTACAAACCCTAAGGCATTCCAATCAAGAAAAAATCATAACCTTATTATTAAAAATAAATAAAAAAATAAAAAAGGAGAGATTAGCGGCTTCCTCTGGGGTTTTTTGAAGAAGTTATTTCACTAAGGGCATGATATGCCTGATTAAAAGCAGAACTTTTTGCTTCGCCACTTGAGGGGAGCGTTGTGAAAATAAATGAGGAGCCCGGTGTAATTACTTCGAAAATGTGAACTTTCCTGTTTACCGCCGCATGTTCAATTAATTGGCCTAACTTCTCCATCTTTTCATTACCAACTCAGCGTCATTCTTTCCTTTCTTTCTTGCACTTATTGACGAGACATTCGTGTCTTCTGTTCATCTTCATTTATCATATCATATTAACCACCTCCCCCCCCCCCACCACCACCACCACCACCATCACCCTTTCTGTACTTTCCACGTTTCTGTGAACCCGTTCACCTTGGTGTCTCTTAATGCGTAACGACTTTTCAATATAATAATAACCACATAATGAGAGTAGCCATGGGGTATGGAGTTCATCCACGATTTTGAATAAAGAAGTGCACAAGAATTGCTTGAAAGAGGCTTGAAATCAATATGAGCCTTGGAATAGATAAAAAAGACGCTGTGCAAAGTCTCACAAAAGGTATTTCGTGAGATAATCTGAGAACGGACATCACCTTCTCATAAAACGCACCTTAGAGTTGGGTGTGAGGTCATGAACCGAGCGAATAGGACCCTGGCCATGGAATTACCACAAGGCCTCCTCCACCTCCTCCTCCCATTTAGTTTTATGGTCTCTTACGGTGTCGTAAAGTGGAAATCGCCTTCGCTGCGTGAGAACCACGAGAAGCGGATTATTGGCCTCTTTAATTGCTTTAAAGTGAAAATCATAATCTGACTAACGCTTAAATAATTTGGCTTAAATACCTCCGAGAGAATTCAAAAATAGGCATGCAATTTACTTAGACGATAATAATTTCACATACACCTATGAAGATGTTGATCAATTGGCGCTGACTCGACTAAGCATTCGGGAGAATCGGGTGCAGATATGCTCAAAGAGGACCCAAATATGCCCATCATTGAGCGATAGTGATAGTACTTTATGTATATATCAATTCATAAACTCCTTAAAATTTCAATAATTGGACTGCAATCACTTGCTAACAAAAAATACCATTCATTCAAATCTTGACCTTCCATTGGATAAGCAGGTTTGTATATACCAAACCGTGAATTTTTGTAGAATAGAAAACATCTCTGATATTGGCGCCGATGGAAACAAGGTTTTAACATCAACAAGAAGATGTGAAGGAATATTCTAAGAAAAAGCGACATGTCCGTCAAACTTTATAAATGACATAACTAATATCCAAATCAAACAGGCAGCAAATTGAGAAAATGGATGAAACTACAAAAATTGCCCCAAAAAAGTTAATTTTGAATAATATGTACCAGTGTAAGAGAAAGTGACTGTGTACTTTAATTATAGAAGGACATTTGTGAAAAGGAAAAGAGTGCTTTTGCGGATTTTGCCTAAGTGAGATCGGTGAGATGAGGGTAAAACTTATTGGGGGGGGGGCTTTTTAGACAAACCAAAAAACCTGAGTTACTTGTTGTTGTTTTACTTCTGTCGTTGGCTGAGCTTAGAGAGAGGTAATTAAACTTGAGCAAGCTGGATAACTTGTAAGGTCAAAGTTTAATTTTACTGCAATTAGGATGAAAATGAGAACTGCGACTAATCCATTAGGAGATTTTAATCGCCGTTGGGGGGGGGGGGG